AGAATTGAGATGTTTGATTCTATTGAAAATTTGATTGAAAACTTAGACGACGAGAATAAGGAAATTATTTTGGTCGGTGATTTTAACTGCAATCTTTTGGCAGTGAATCGACTCAATATCACAAACCGGCTTCTGGATATCGCCAATTTATTTCAACTTAAGCAGATAATTACAGAGGCAACACGTGTTACGGAGGAAACGCAGACATTGTTGGACTTGTTCTTTACTAATAAGCCAGAAACTATTATTAATTCTGGGGTGGTGCATATGGGTGTCAGTGACCGTAGCCTTATTTATGGCTGCAGAAAGATATCATTTAGCAAAACGTCACCAACAATTGTAGAAACAAGGAATTTTAAGCATTACAAAACATTTGAATTCAAAAGGGATCTTTCTATCACACTTTCGAATTGTGATTGGAGCAGTGATGATCCAAATGCGCTTTGAAAACAATTTAAGGATAGGTTCAATGAGAATGAAGAAGAAGAAGATCCGGGCTTATGGATCAAACAAAACTATTATATTTTATCGCCATGCAAACATACAAAGAACTTATAGGTTCAATGAGGTTTCCAACTTACATGCTCCTATTAGGCTAAAAAAAATCAAAAGTAAATATACCCCCTGGATGAATGGAGAGTAAATAAAGATAATGAACTATCGTGATACGTTAAAGAAGAAAGCAGTTATTAAAAATAAATCTTCTCGCTTCCATGAGGCCTACAAAACAGCTAGGAACGATGTCAATAGATTGATTAAAAATACGAAAGCTAGTTATTTTCAAGAGGTAATTAGTAATTCAAAAAACAACTCTAAGGAAATGTGGAGAAATATAAACCAACTCATTGGGAAAACCTCTAAAACAACAAATGTAATTTCAGTCAAATCAAATGATCAAATATTTACGAATAAGGATGATATTGCTGAAACTTTTAACGATTACTTTTCAAAAATTGGTACAGAATTATCCAACAGGATTCCACCAAGTAAAGAAGGATTTGAAGAATATCTTGATCGGTCGTTTAGTGCTGTTTTTGAGTTCAAATCGGTTTCTAATGATGAAGTTGAAACTGTTTTGAGTAAGCTTAAAGTCTCCAAATCAAGTGGACAAGATAAAATACCAGTAAAAATTTTAAAAGACTCCAGATAGATAGATAGATAGATAGATAGATAGATAGATAGATAGATAGATAGATAGATAGATAGATAGATAGATAGATAGATAGATAGATAGATAGATAGATAGATAGATAGATAGATAGATAGATAGATAGATAGACAGATAGATAGATAGATAGATAGATAGATAGATAGATAGATAGATAGATAGATAGATAGATAGATAGATAGATAGATAGATAGATAGATAGATAGATAGATAGATAGATAGATACTTTATTTATACACGCTGACCCCGTCAACCGAAGCTGATTTCCACGGGGGGCGTGTGCAAAAATAGAAAAATGTTACATGGAGATATTAAAATACTTAAGTTTAAAAAGATAGAATATTAAATTGTTTACATGATAAGAAGGTTATTAGAATATTTACAGTTACATCAATTTACTCTATGTCAATTTTGTGAGCAGCGATTTTATTTCTAAAGGATGAAAGAGTTTTGCTTTCCCTAATTTCCTTTGGAATAGAATTCCAAAGGTGTGCTCCGTCATACATGAAACTATTTTTCATGTTGTTAGTACGCGGTTTTGGTAAACTAAGACCGCTTGAAATGTCACGAAGGTTGTAGTTTGTTTTTTCACATTTGTATGAAAAAAGATTAGTGAGTGATTTAAGACCCATTTTATTTAATACTTTGTACATTATTTTTGCATTAGCTTTCTTCCTTTCAGTTTTGAGTGGCTCCCAGCCCAATGCACGTAGAGCAATGGAATGATTTACGTCATTACTCATGTTCAAGATAATTCTAGCAGCTCTATTTTGAAGTTTTTGGACTTGTTTTGATTGTGATTCACCAAACACATGCCATACTTCACAACAGTAATCAAAGTATGGGCGAACAATAGCATTATATATTTGTCAACGAAAGGTTTGACTCGACGAATAGCAGAGATTCCTGCAGTTATTTTTTTGCAAATATTTTCGGAATTACTTTTCCAAGACAAATGCTGGTCAACTATTACTCCAAGAGTTTTGCATTGCTAACTTGTTTAATTTGCTTATTTTCAATGAAAACATTCAAACGTGAATCATAATTTTTTTTAATCATTGCCTTTGAACCAATTACATTTAGACTAAGTTTATTGGCAATTAACAAAAAAACAACAACAAAAAACATTATATCTTTAAATTATATACTTCTTTTCTATTTGTAAATAGCTTCTTCCTATATATTTTAATAGTTATAGGTTATATGCATTACTGACATTTTATATATATTTCAAACACTCATTAATAATTCATAAGCTTATTGGCAAATCATGTCAACCATAATATGTCACGTGCAGTGGCTTTAAACCAGATAAAACACTCCTAATTAGTATTCTTTAAATAAAGAATACTAATAAGGCAGTATCTATTGTAGTCGTGCCCTCATTAGTATTCTTTATATAAAGAATACTAATAAGGCAGTATTTCTATTATATTGAATTTGTAGTCGTGTTTGAAGCCGTTTAAACATAATAAAACACTCCTGCTCGTTTATTAAACAGTACATAATGTACGCTTAGCAATACATGTAATTAGGTCATGCAAATAAAGCTTTATAATAATAATAATAATAATAATATTAATAATAATAATAATAATAATAATAATAATAATAATAATTTTCTTAATAATAATAATAATTTATTTATAAAATAATCCTACTACATTAATAACTAATTGCTAGTATATATAAGGAAGTGAGTCTAAATTGTTGTAGTATGTTATAGTATATGTTATAGTAAGAATTTATGGTAAAAGTCTAAGCCTAAACTTTGGCACCAGAATTGTCTACTTCGAAGTCCGTTTCTTGAACGTTCGTATTTATCCTCCTGGGTGCTCTAGTCCCTCTGAGACAAAGTAGAGCTGACCGCAAGATGGCAAAGGAGACCTTGGCTCGTATCCAGGACATGGTCGTAGAGTAGTCTTCGCCTTTCTTCGCTGCTATGAGCTCGGCAAATCTGCTATGATACCTCTTGCACTCTTCACTCATGCCTCCAGTCGTTGTAAATACTAGTGGTGTAAACGTTCCGTGTTCTATCTCCATCACTCTTTGGGCATACATCCTCTTCTTCTCGTTTTCATGTTGCCTGTATATCTGTTGAGGGCTCGGGTCTTTGTAGGATTCCGCGTTGGGGTGACAAACCCTAACGTCAAAGAACGTGGACCTTTGTTTCTCCCAAAACCCTCGAGCGTGGATATCTAGGCGAGCGTCGGATGCTGTATTTGCTCCTCTTGGTAAAACCTCGCCAGTTAACTCTTGAAGAACGGGTTCAACCTCGACATCATTACGGACGATGTTAAGCATATCAGCCTCAAGATTTCGCAGTTCGTTGTGTCGCTGTATAATGAACCCACCTCGCTTGCAGATCATTGCGTGATGAATATTGAAAGTATCGCCACACACGCATACTGATGGCTTATCAGCAATTTTCCACTCATATCTCAGCTTTACTGCGTCTCGAAACTCACCCTTGTTCAGATTGTAGTCCATTTCCTTAATGGGGATAACTGTTAGCCAGTTGGATGCACCTTTTTCAGTTGCTAGTTCCATAGCACGCCGTGTTTTCGGGGGTAGAGAGTTCTTAATACCATCCCGTTTAGCCTGAAGTACTTCGTTCTTTTCATTTCGCGCATTCTGCTGCAGTGTGTGAATAACAGAGTCATCTGGAATTTCGTAGGCTTGTGCGATAATTTTCTCTACCAGTGGCGCTGTGGTCTTTATCAACGTTTCGTACTGCAGTGCTGCATCCTGTCTAGGATTTATAAGGCCAAGACCGCCCATTCGTACTGGGAGTGCCAGGAGATCCCTTTCACTCTTTGTACAGTGATGATCCGTAATTGATGGTATCAGGACATCAGCAATAGCACGCTCCAAGGGCTCCAGTAAATCTTCTATATCTGGAAGTGTTCTAAGAAAATACGTCCATCGATAGCGGAGGCCAAAGATGAAGGTGGCATAGCAGGCTTGTGGGTGTGACGCTGCGAATTCAGCTAGCTTGACGATTTGGCTAACCCAGTCCTCTACCTTGCCGTTGACGTATTCTTTCAGGAAAGCCATAGAACCCAAGGCTGCGCCCAAATGCTTTTGCCCCTGTGCAGAGATATTGATCGCTGTCCCATCAAAAATAGCATGAGCACTTTCTTCTTTTCCAGGCTTTATGATCAGCCAGCATTTCTTAGCATTTGGAAAGTATCCCAAATTAGGGACAGCTTCATTCAGGTGTTCCCACCATCGCTTGATATCTTCCAGAAGTCCCGCGCCACTCGCGTCGTCAGCAAACCAACATTGCTTAACATTGCTTGACACATTCAATCCGGTGATCAGGGGTTGAAGACTGATGGCATACATCCCCATGGCCAGGGGATCACCTTGTGTGGTACCCTCGGTGGACTTGAGCTCTCCTCCACCAGATATAAATAGTCTAGCTGGTTCGCGATAGGTGTTAATTGCGTAGGTTGACATAGATGGACACAGAACTGTCTTCTTCAAATATGGAGTGCATCGCATGAACAGCTGCCTCACTTCCGCTCTTAAGACCTGCGCACACCTGTAGCGAGCCACTGGCATCAATCACGTCGGGCTTAATCACTTTCATAACACATTTCCCGACAATCTTCCTGATAACTTCCCCGACGCCAATTGGACGAACCGCACCCTCGCCTTTGTCAAGAGGTATAAGCCTGCTGGCTAATATAGGCTCGATAGTTCTCGGGTCAATGTATTCCGTACATAGCCGCCGGGTCATTGTTGCTACTGCCTCACACAAGTTCACGCCTGATTTCTTAAACGATTTACATGCGAAAATACGCTTGAATCCATTTGCATCCACTCCTGAAGGGCCGCCGGAGCCCTTGGTTCGCAATGCTGTCTCGCGTATCATTTCGCCATCGATCTGCTGATATAACGAATCGTGCACTTCCTCAAATGGCCCGAAGAGTAACGAGCCAAGATTGGCCTCTTGTGCCTCAGGGTGTTTCTCCTGAAGCTGTCTCATCACGTCGTCAGTCAAAGGCAACACTCCATCACAATCAGCCTCACTGAGATATCTCAAAGCAGAATTGATCTGACCTTCCATGACCAACTTGGCGAATATCTTCGCTTTATTTGGAGGCTCCGTCCTTTTAGCCTTTGCTAGGCGCTTTTGAATGGACCGGCCTTCACGAAGTAAGCTCTCGACTTATCCTTCTTTCCATAGCGCTAGTCGTTTTTCCAAGCACTCTTTGTGATCTTTTGCCTTCGATTTTACGCTTGGCTTTTGTAGTGCCGTTGCCAAGAGAACAATTGCAGCTTTCAGCGCTATGTGTTGTGTTTGCGATGCGTTGTTCCAATCGTTTATATGTTGTGTTAGCTGGTCGATAAAGTCTCGCCCAACTTTGCCATACGGGACGAGAAAAGTATTTTACGCCATCGCGTAATTTCATCGTATGCATTAATTATGGTTGACGAGTTGACCGTAATTATTGAGCCGTCCGCTCTGCGTCCCCAGATGGTAATCGATGGTATATCAACAGCAACATAGTCGGGTAGACGTCTTGCTTCATGTATGCCGGAGTGTGGTTCACCAGGACAGTCATTGGTCACTTCAAAGCCCTCTACAGCTTCGGTTTCTTGCCGTTCTTGACTGTTTTGGACAATATCATTGTCTGTATGCAAATCCAGATTGCTGTTTACCTCCAAATTTGCATTTTGACTAATGGTGTTTTGATTTTCAAAATTGCTAAATTCATGTTGTGAAATCGTGTTGTGCCTTTTCTGGTTTTCATCTAATGTCTGCTCTCTTTCGTCATCGATAACCGCTCCGCCGCTTACCTTACCGATAGGACGAGTCTCAGCTGTAGCGTTAATTTTCTCAAGCCTGGCGGCTTGATCTCGCAGGTTTTGGCTCTTCAATCCAAGATGTTCGTATCCTTTCTTGTCCCACAGATCTTTCATAACTTGTATATAGCCTTTCTTTCTGCCGTTCACATGGCATGGCGGGTTTTCCGATTTAAGGAATTCCATCGCTTTCTTCTTACATTCTAGCAGATCTGTATTCATTTGCTCTGTCCATTTTAATTTCGATCGCTGCTGTCGCGACATCGTGTATAATAAATATTTGTTGAAATTGACCCAATAGCTGACTAAAACACCATCTTCTCCAATACACAAAATTTTCTTTTCTTAATTGAGCATCAAAGTTAAAAAGCATTCAGGTTTCCAAAGAGCAAGTAAAAGTTGATAAATCTATCACAAAAGGTTTAAAATAAATGCAGTTTATGCCAACCCCAAACTTTGCTTTCCGGCGGCCATGTTGTAATCACTTATAATAATAATGGAAACTTTATTGAAATTATATACGTATATATACAATTATAAATCTCACTAATTTAGGTAATTTATAATTGGCTACTTGAACCTACTTAATATTTATATATTAATAATGAGTATCCTTAAATGTTCAGTAATTCCGGATTTGACCAGTCCTTATCTCTGCAACAAAATATATACCTATCCGGTATCGTTATCTGTGTCGTGTATCACCCACCTGGTCTGACAATATCGGAACACAGTGATCTTAATGAACATTTAATTAACACTATTGAACTACTTCGAAATAACCACCCTGACCTTGGTCTAGTAATTATGGGTGATTTTAATGATCTTGAAACTCGCAGTTTGACCACCAGTCAAAATCTTAAACAAGTTGTTGACCAACCCACTAGAGAATCAGCAATACTCGATCTTATCCTTACAAACCTGTATAGTTTATATGACCGCCCTAATGTCCTTGCTCCATTAGGATCCAGTGACCATAATATTGTACACTGGCTACCTTCAGTCGATAGCATTCCCAGCCACAACATCCAAGCAAAACCTGTTAAATCCTTAGTACGGCGCTATCCCAGATCAGGAATAGATGCTTTCGGAAGATGGGTTACCACACATAATTGGTTTTGTGACCTTGAACCCAACCCTACTGTTGATAGCTTGGCAATCTCGTTTACAAACCAGTTAACAGAAAGTATTGACCGAATCTTCCCACAACAGACGTCAACACGTCATCACACCGATAAACCATGGATAACACCTGCAATAAAACAGCTTATCAAATATCGACAAAAGGCGTTTCATGGTCATAATACAATCTTGTGGAAATCGTTGAAATATAAGGTCCAACATGAAATCAATGCGAGGAAAATATCGTACTACAAAACAAAGGTACAACATTTAAAGAAGGATGACTGCCGTATGTGGTGGAAAATCGTAAATAAAATGGCAGGAAAATCTGGAAAGAACTCCTTCTCGCTTGAACATGATGGAAGAACTCTGGATCAATCAGAATTAGTTAGAGCTTTGAATGTGTTTTATGCATCGATGAATAGTGACATTCCACCACTTAATTTAGCGACACTCCCGGCATTTCTTCCGGCCAAAGAACCTGCTCCAACAGTTCAACCACATGAAGTATCTAAACAGCTCTTAGAAATTAAACCTTTTAAAGCTCACGGCCCAGATAACGTCCCCTGTCGTATCCTGAAAGAGTTTGCCCATGAATTAGCTGAACCTGTTGCAACTATTTTCAACGAATCACTTTCATCTGGAATCGTGCCTGCAATATGGAAAGACTCAGACATCATACCAGTTCCAAAATCACAACCTCCTACCTGTAAAGGTGACACCAGACCCATCTCACTGACACCCTGCCTGGCTAAGGTTCTTGAAGATTTCGTGGTCTGGTGGATGATAACCGATATTAAAGACAAGATCGACCCCAAGCAGTTTGGATGCTTGAAAGGAACATCCACAACCTATTGTCTTTTAGACATGATCCACACTTGGTTGTGCAACTTAGAGTGTCCTGAAAAACATCTTAGACTTTGTTTCCTTGACTTCGAAAAGGCGTTTGACCGTATAGGACATAATTTACTAATATTAAAGCTGTTGGACCTAGGTGTTAGATCGTTCCTGTTGCCTTGGATTATCAACTTCCTAACTAACCGCCGTCATCGGGTCAAACTTGGAGGGAAAACGTCAGACTGGTTGCCAATGAATGCGGGTGTCCCCCAGGGAACTAAACTCGGTCCAATTCTGTTTTTGGCGATGATAAATGATCTCGATGTGAAACCACACGCAACGGATATTTGGAAATTTGTGGATGACATATCAACATCTGAAAATATCACAAAGGGCAGCAATTCAAAGTTTCAGTTCTGTATTGATACTATAAATTCTTGGGCTTCGTGCAACCTTATGAAACTTAACCCCAAAAAGTGCAAAGAACTACGCGTTTGCTTTCTGCGGGAATCACCTGATCTATCACCATTGTTGATCGACGGTCACGCGCTTGAGGTTGTGCGGTGTCATAAAGTCCTAGGTCTGGTTATCCAAAACGATCTTAAATGGAATGCACACATAGAATCAGTTGTATCCAAGGCTTCTAAACGTTTATGTATCGTACGCATATTACGACGAGGTGGTGTCCCTGCGGAAGACTTATTGAGTATATACTTTGCCTTAATACGATCGGTTCTGGAGTACTGTTGTGTGGTATGGCATCATGCCCTACCTTTGTACCTCGCAGATGATTTAGAGCGAGTGCAAAAACGAGCGCTGAGGATCATTTTACCGGGTTACTCTTATAGGGAAGCATTAGCACAACTTGGGTGTTCCAGATTGGATGAAAGGCGAGAACGACATTGCCTGAATACTATGAAACGCATAGAAATTGAAGGACCACTGTCAAAATATGTTCCATTGTCTAGGGCTAGTTCAAATGATTATGAACTTAGAAACTCTAACACATTAACAACAATAAAATGCCGAACAGAAAGATATCGCCGTAGCTTTTTTCCCAGTACAGTAGCTCTATATAATAGTTATAGTAAAGAAACTTAAGCGTGATACTTAATTACGATGATTTTAATGCAATTCAATAAGATTTTTAGACTTGATGCATGCAACTAAATTTTTTATATATGTAAATATATAGCGTACCAATTTTGTAAACGCACCATAATTCAATCTATTGCGAAGGTGTGTATCTTAAACCATTAATAATAATAATCGCGATAGACATAATTTTCGTGATAGCAAAATGTTGGTGTCTTTTATCAAGACCTAGATCATTTAACATATCTAAAAAGGAATGACATTCTTTTGGGAAGACGCCTAAAGAACTAATTGACAAATTTACAAATTTTACGGACTTAAATTGTTTCTTTTGCTGTGTAATGAGATCTTCGTATCTTCTTCTTTTCCGATCAACATTTGTTTGTAGATCAGACTCATAACCAACAGAAAGTTCAAGGATATAGAGACAATCCGAGTTGATAGATAGAAGTAGGTCTGGGCGGAATGTGTCACCAGTTACAATTGATGGGCTTTTATAACCAGGAAGATCGACGAAAAGATTGGAGTTGTTTACAGGTTGTAGCGTTTGTGCTATGAAGTTCAGAACAGAATCATGTCTCCATGTAAATCGTGGGAGGTACGTTTGACATCCAGCAACTACGTGTAAAAGGGTTTCAGGGTTTAAGCAGAAGGAGCAATCAGAGTTGGACAATATTCCCCATTTAGTAAGGTTTTTACGGGTTGGAAGTGAGTTATTGATGTAACGAATGGTGAAGTTATAGATATTCTTTGGGAGGTTTGATTGGGATTTAGACCATATGCCGTTTAATTTCGACAGTGAAAACTTAATGACATTTGAGAAGAAGGAGCCTTGCAAAATCAGATGATTCTGCAGTTTGTCTTCTTGTCCGGAGTTAAAAGTTTTAAGGACTTCCTTTGTCGAGGTGTAAACGTCGTACTGAATGTTTTTGCTTTCAGATGTTGTTTTCCAGAGGTTTTTTATGGAATGATTTGGAGAGGTCTTTAAGGCGTTACGGGCAACTGTTTGGCACTGAGCAAACTTAATTGACGGCGGGTAGATATTTAGACCAAACTTGTTGCTGGTAAGGTAGACGTTAGATAGAGTTCCTGATATAGGTATTTCAAGCCATTTACGTACGCACTTGTTCACCACAGAATCCATATTTTCAGAGACCCAGGTTCTTGATATGGTGGTTACAGTGAAATGCCAGGAAAGTTTGGATAGGAGGTAACGACTATAAAGCAAAAGTTTATTTTTCGGGTGCAAAGGTTTGAGATCAATTTCAGACATAATGTCGTCCATGAGAGTGATTAGCTCTTGTTTGTGTTCTTTTTCGGACATACTGAAGTCAAAATATTTCCCCAAGTATCGAAACGACTCTCCGGTTTTAGTGGCAGGTATCAATTCATTGTTAATCAGAAGTTTAGGTAAATATTGGATAGATTTTGTCGGACTTTTCCTGATCCCAAATGTTGAACACTTATCAACCCTGACAATCATGTTAGACCACTGGCACCAGATCGAGAATCGATTTAAAAGATCATCAGCGAACTGGAACCAATGGACTGGGTTTAAAAGATTTGTAATGAAACCAAATTGCCGGTATTTGTCAGTTTTTATATGTTGAATAAAGGTATTGATGCACATATTAAAAATTAGAGGACTAAGACAGTCTCCTTGAAGAACTCCACGACCGACAGTTATAAATGGGGTAGAGAATTCTGATGTTATAAATGCAGTATTGAAGTCCGTATACAAGCTCTTTATTATTTCACTAACGTCTTTGGGAATGTGATGATAGTCGAGGACAGATTGAATTAGATTATGATGCACTTCACCAAAAGCATTCTTGAGATCGAGAAGGGTGATGACAACAGAGCGCTGCTTTATTCTCGCTTGGTTGATAATATTTGTCATTTGAGCAGTGTGTTCCAGAGTGCCAGACAGATTGGGAGTGAAACCTTTTTGAATCTGATGTTCAATAACGTTATTAGCAGTTAGGAACGAGAACATAGCATTGCGGAGACAAGAGGTAAACACTTTTAGTGGTATAGGTTCTAGAGTAATTGGGCGGAAATTGGAGGGGTCACTTGTATTGCCTTTTTTGTGGATAAGAATAGAACACGCTTTTTTCCATTCAGCTGGTACAGATTTCGAAGACCAGACGCTACGTATCACTTCGGTTAGATAAGTGCGCAAAAATGGACAACGTTTGAAGCAAATTATTGAAAGTTGATCTAAAGGACAAGGCGATCCAGAAGCTTTCATTCTGCGAATAATGTTTGTAACTTGGCGATATGTTGGGGATTGAAGGTCAAAGTTTACGATAGGATCGGATAACTTCGGAATCCAGCTTGGAATACAAAACAGTTTGTTTGGGTTAATTGAACATAGAGTTTTCTTGAAATAGTTTAGGCATTCTGACATCGGAAAGCATGGAAGTAGGCAACTGTTCTTATTCAGGACGTTCTTAACGTAACCCCAGAAATTTCTACTAATGTAATTGTCGTGATTGAACGTTTTGTTTTGGTTTTGAGTTGTATTGATTTGACAAGCATTACGCAACTTATCACGCAATGTGCGAGCTACATATTTGATTTCGTGAGGATCAGCGTTCGATAGCTATAATAATATTATAATAATAATAATAATAATAATAATAATAATAATAATAATAATAATATGAATAATAATAATAATAATAATAATAATAATAATAATAATAATAATAATAATAATAGGCTAACCATTTTCTGAGGTTTTCCAAATCAGAATTTACTGCAGTTTCAAGGTCAATTATAGAATCTCCCGAAGCTTTCAGATTTGTGGCGTCAGCAAACAATCGAGGTTTTGTTTTGTTTACACACTGAGGTAAATAATTTATATATAACAAAAAGAATAGTGGTCCTAAGATAGAGCCTTGTGGTACGCCACATTTAATCAATCGCTCTGAATTCTTAATTTGGCACTTCTGGTTTCTGTTTGTGAGATAAGATTTGAGCAAAGTTAGAGCTTCTCCTTTTATTCCATAAAGTTCTAACTTCCTCAATAGAATTTGATGATCAACAGTATCAAATGTTTTTTTTAGATCAATTAAAACTACTAAGTTAATTGATCTAAAAGCATTTGATACTGTCTAGATTCATATACCAATCATTGGTACAGTCTAGTAATGCAGTTGCTGTAGAATGAGATTTTCGAAAACCGAATTGAGAATCGCTAAGGAGTTCAAATTTTGTTAAATAGTTATACAGTTGATCATACATAATTCGCTCCATAATTTTGCTAATCGCAGGTAAAACTGATATTGGTCTATAGTTTCCTGGAATATTCCGTTGGCCATTTTTATACAAAGGTATTATTCTTGCCATTTTCCATTCATTAGGAAAGGAGGATATAGTTATAGCCTGATTGAAAACAAATGCCAATGAGTCTGAAATAGCTGGTGCAGCTATCGTAATAATTTTACAAGAAATTTTGTCAATGCCAGTGGCTTTATTGCTGCAAAGCCCATGCAAGAGACGACAGACATGACTGACAGTAACAGGCTGGAATGCAGCAAATTCTGATTCAGCAGTTTTAGTATATGCTTCAAAATTATAATTTGAAGTATCAATTTTGCTAGCTAAATCAGGTCCAATATTTGAAAAGTAATCATTAAAGCCCTCTGCAATATCTTTGGGAGTTGTAAAATTTTTTCCCCCTAGATTAATCTCATTCACCACTGTTGGTTTGTTTTGCCTACCTAATAAGTTGTTTATACTTTTCCAAGCATTTTTAGGATTGAATTTTTGACCAGCTATTTTTGAGGAATAGTAATCTTTTTTGGCATTCCTTACTTCTATGTTTACTTTGTTTCTAGACGTTTTATAATCAAACCAATCATTTTCCAGGTTTGTTGAAATGGCTTTTCTTTTTAATTTGTCACTTGTATAAATAAGTGATATATGCGTTTCGTATTTGACATATATATATAACTGCTCTCTTCTTTCTGGCATTTTTCCGGATGATTGGAAACTGGCCAAAGTTTCACCTATTTATAAATCGGGGAATAAACAAGAGTGTGGTAATTATCGCCCAATATCTGTACTATCAGTCGTTGCGAAAATATTTGAGAAATTAGTCTGTGGTCAACTCAATTGCTATTTCAAGGAACACCAGATTCTTACAAAATTTCAGTCTGGTTTTAGAAAAGGCCATCCAACTACATCCTCTTTACTCTCTACAACCAACTCTTGGTTAGTAAACATGGATGCTGGCCTTATTAACGGGGTCGTTTTCCTCGATCTCAAAAAAGCGTTTGATACGGTTGACCACCAGATCCTTATTAAGAAACTTGAATTGTACGGAATCAAAAATAGTGCGTTACCATGGTTTTCTTCCTACTTACATGGAAGAACTCAAGTTGTAGAGTTAATAATATTACATCATCTTCAAAACATATTTCGTGTGGTGTTCCACAAGGGTCTAACTTGGGTCCCCTCCTATTTTTAATTTACATAAATGACTTTCCTAATTGTTTAAATAAATCAAAAGCAGCTATGTATGCTGATGATACTAATTTATCTGTTACTGGAGAAAGTGCAAGTGATATCGAAGTGAGATTGAATACTGAACTTGAAAATGTTCATGAATGGCTAACAGCGAATAAATTAACACTTAATACTGAGAAAACTGAGTACATGATTATCGGTTCGTATAAGAGAATTTCAAATCTTCAAAAAGAAGATGAAATTAAAATTAGGATTGGGGATAATGAAATTAAACGAGTCAAAACTACTAAAAGTCGGGGAATTGTAATTGATGAAAATTTAGCATGGAAAGAAAATATTGACAATCTCAGCGTTAAGGTGTAGCCGAGCTAAAAAAATACGTTAAACAAGATGCCTTAAAACTATTGGATAATTCTTTAGTTCTCCCATATTTTGATTATTGCTCCCTTGTTTTTGGCATAATTGTAGCCAAACACTAAAAACTAAAGTTCAGCGGCTTCAAAATAGAGCGGCAAGAGTCATAACGGGAGATACATACGACATTAGATCAAAAGATGTTCTCTCTAAATTAGGCTGGAATAATCTCGAAGAAAGGCGTAATTCTCAAACTATTTCTTATGTTAATAATGCTCTCAAGAAAAATTGCCCGGAGGGAATAACTGAAATGTTTCAGTTTTCCTGCAATGATAACCATAATTTAAGAAGTAACAACTTAATGCTGAGGTTGGCTAAACCAAAAACTAATGCAATGAAAAAGTCGTTCAGTTAAGGCCTGATTCCACGAGCGCTTTTTGTCAGCGAAATGCGAAATATTTCGGACCACTCGAATAAATTATTTCTACTTGATTGCTCACAATTCAAAAGGAACAGGCGAAATATTTCGCTGACAAAAAGCGCTCGTGGAATCAGGGCTTTATGCCGCCGCCAACATCTGGAACTCACAGAGCATTTCAGAAAGAAAGAAAGTAATTAACTTGATTCAATGATTTGATATATGTGGGTTATGGCGTATTAAATGTATTAGACGTGTAATTATGTACTATATCGTCCTGTATTGTATTGATATTCAAAAATTGTAATTTTTGCGTAATCACACGGCCTTTTGAAAAGCAGCATTTTATTATTATTTTTTTTTTCTTAATTTATTATTGCATGTTTACTTATATAAATTATATGTAGTAACGTATATATTGCTGAAAAGTTATTTTATTTATTTTATTTTACATGCAGATTTTGCCATTGAACACAATACACTATATTACATAAAATTAATTACAAAATAGGCTGCATGGCTGGAATTACCACACAGAGATTATTAGTTCGATCTCCAATAACGGGATTCCAAAACATTTAAAATACAAGTATAAACAATAACAGACTTACAGACAAACAGACAGACATGAATAAATTTAGCAACAAGATCGATTGGAGCTCAATGGCGAGTTGTGTGACACTTCACACAAACAGACTTAAATGTTCTCGGATCTTCGGGATTGTAAATTTCCTTAGTGAGATTATTATAATGTTTCATTAAACAAAATTTAAAAAAAGACCACAGTTTTGTTGGCTTCTCTGATCGAGTAGGGGAGTGTGTAGCACAAAGTCCAAAATGTTGTTAACTCTGGTCGGATACATGTTCACTTGATGTAAGAAAAAATCATAATTTAGTTCTCTGAATCCAGAAGACCCAACAGAAATAGTTCTTTCTGAAATAACAGGCACAAAGTTCGAGTTCCAGGTTAGATCGGGGAAGTTAAAATCACCAGAGATTAAAACTTTGTCGTAGTGGGTGGTTTCATCCAAAAATGCCGTGAACAAATGCAGCCATTCAACTAAGTTACAACTAGGTGATCGGTAACAAACATACACAAGACATTTCTTGGAGTTTATCAATTCCAATTCGAGGGCAATAATCTCTAAACTATCAGACCAGTCTGGTTTATTATTACTTGCAATTAACCTATTATACGGAATGTCCTCACGTAGCGCTATTAATACCCCACCACCGCGTTTGTCAGGCGCTCGATCTTTCCTTGTGACGTGATAAACTTTCGGAAGTAACTCGTTGTTCATGAAATTCTGATTGAGCCATGTCTCCGTTACCAAAATTAAATCAAGATTATCTGCGTAAACCAGGTCTTGGAAGGACTTCAAGTTGTTAAAGGAAGTCCCGTCGGGTAATTTAGTGTTACTTCGAATACTCTGAGCATTGAAGGAGAGACACCGAAGAACATGTTCATTACTAGGACCTGGATTGATAGCTACGTCTCCTGATAATACGATCCATAGGAGTAGGTGTAAATTATTATTATTAATTTGAAATAATAGGCCATAACGATAGTTGCTGGATAACGAGCATTTCCTTAAAGTACTATCACGCGTTGAAATCCAAATATTGATGCAAGTTCCGAAGAGATAGTGGCGTTCTGCTGCGTTGATGAGGGCGTCTGAGAGTCTAGTATTGGTTTAGGTCTTGAAAACAACCAAAAAGTTACAGCGAGAAGCAACAGCCAATTAGAGACTGAAGTGAACGAGCGTCGGTGGGTTATTAAATTCATTGAACTAACTTGGCAAGGGAAATCCCCAAGAATGAAACCAGAGAAGTTCGTCAAGTCAAAGGTCAATAGTTACCGCGACAGAACAAATAATAAGATCAATGTACAGAAAAAAAATTCACTAGAAACTGCACCACAAAGAACAATAATTAGCTCCAAATGATAGGAATAAATAGACAAACACGATTCCGATCTTAAAATTTGTCTTTAAACGAAGCAAGCTCGATTACAGGTTTACATAAACATGTTGCCATGACGAACAACGCAAGACGATGATTTAAAAAATTTCCAACGGTCAAAATTTAAAAACGCGTATTATTTAAATTGTATTTAACACCAAGACACCAAAACTTTATACCATAACACGAACAAAGTACGT